GTAAAGTATTTAAAACTAGTAATTGTCTTTTTCTTTTCTTTCTTTTTTTTTTAAATGCAAAGAAGAAAGCCAAGAGATCAGAGCTAAGAGCCTTACCCGCCCGCTGCAGCTAGCCTCTTCAGCCAAGAGACCTCTCCGAAAGAGACCTACTTCCTGTCTGTTTGTCTTTATATAGACTTTCTGTTCTGCCTTCTCATTGGTTTTAAAACCAACCACATGACTGCCTCGTCACTGTCTGTTGGCTGTATCCTTGAAGACACAGAGATCTGCCTAGCTCTGCCTACCAAATGCTGGGATTAAAGGCATGTGTCACCACCGCCCAGCTCTATTATGGCTTGCTATTAGCTCTGACCCCCAGGCAACTTTATTTATTAACATACAAATAAAATCACATTTCAGTACAAATAAAATACCACCATACATCTTCCAGTGTTCACCCCAATACCTGGCTCAGGTTTGATTTTATTAATAAGAACTTTTAAGATTCATGCTACAGTGATCCAAGAAGGGAAGGAAGAAGATAGTAGGAAGATGGTGTTTTAAGATGAAGGGTTCTGGGGGCCAGAGAGACAGCTCAGTGGTTAAGAGAACTAGCTGCCCTTCCAGAGGACTAGGGTTTGATTCCCAGCACCCATATGGCAGTTCATAACCATCTGTAACTCCACTTCCAGGGGATCTAATGCCCTCTTCTCACTTCGGCACACATATGGTGCATATGTACATATAGGCAAAGTGCTCTTAAACACATACACACAAATAAGTGTATTTTTTAAAGAACTTTAAATGATGAGTCTTGAGCAGTTATGCACAGTAGAGAGGGTATAGAAAGGATGAAAACCAAAACTGTAACATTCAAAGTGAGTGGTGCCTAAGGCTCCAAAGGACATAGAAAGAGCAAGTAGGGAAATGTTGCAGGAGAGGTATATACTTTAGCAAAATGGACATCTAGTTCATTCCTCTCCCATGTGAAAGAAGGAAGAAAAGGCTGGAAATATTGGGTATCATCAGGTTGGGAGAGGAGAATATACGGAAGCTCAGAGAGGGTGACATCTTTTCAACAGAACAAGAGACTAAATTAGCTATTAGAGTATGGAACATGACAGGTATGATGGCACACACCTGTAACCCCAGCACTTGGGATATAGAGGCAGAAGGATTAGAAGTTCAAGGTTGGGTCAGGTGTGGTGACCCATGCCTTTAATTTCAGTACTGATTTGAAATATGGAATTTATTGGTTCAATATCTATAACCTGAAAAGATCCAAAATATGGACATCTTTGAGCATCATGTTGGATCTCAGAACATTTTACATCTTTGTATTTTATGCTCAACCTACAGCTAGCATCCTACATTATTAGACCATACATAGCATTATATAATTGCCTTGAAAATGAAAAAAAATATAGTGGCTTACATGTAGAATCTCATTACTTGGGAAGCTGAGGCTGGAGAGTTGCTGCAAGTTTGAGGCCAGCCTGGGCTACATAGTGAGTTTCACACCAACCTGGGCTACAATGTGAGACACTAGCTTTAAAAAATGTAAATAAAAATGAAATAGACAAGTAAATGGAGGGGGAGTAACAAGTTCATAGGATACAACTGTGAAAAGGATGGCCCTAAGCTTCCACTGCATTATTTGAAGAGAAAAATACTTAAAGAAGCATTTCTTTTGCTTCTGCTTATAATGAAGTAGTTTAGCTTTCTCTCTAGGCAACAACATGGGTCTGGCTCTCAAATGGACAGAATGGACAGTAAACAGTATCCTTTCCTTGTTGCACCCTCAGCTTCCAGTTCCAATGGCAGCCAGTGACAGTGCTGAAGGAAGCAAAGTGCCTAGCTGTTAAGCAGCAGGATACCCAAGCCCTGTCTGAAGATCATTTCATAGCTATATATCTGAGAGACAGTGTGAAGGACATACATGTAGTTTACTCATCTTGCTTTTCTGCCCTCCATCTCTGTACTGAAAGGAAATTCAGAAGGAAGATGAAGCAGACAGACTACATGTCTTAGGCCTGCACAAAAGTACCTTTACATCCAGTAAAAGTCAATGTGTGCTATGCTGTCACTGAAGCTCAACAAAAGACCCACTGAACAGAACAAGATTCAAGAATCTCTGGGTAATGCTACAAAAACAGATTTACTGCCAGGAATGGTGATGCACAATAACCATAATCCCACTGTGCGAGGGAGGCAGGAGAACCACTGGTTGAAGGAAAACATGGGCTATGTGGCAAGACACCTTGTATTAAAACAACAAAGAATTGAATCACTATGTTACAATCTTTCAGAGAAAAGCCAAGCTAGGGATTTCTCCTTGAATTTAATAAAGGAAGAAGCATGCTGTTTCTGGCTTATCAGAAAATGAAAACTTTCTAGTCACCATGTTTTTCATATCACCAGCAGTGGTAAACCCTGAGCTGAACTCTACTGTCAAGGGTAGTGATCAGCTCATTTGGAAGATTCCTTCAGCTTCTCACACATCTCTCATATTTTTTTCTGGTTTCCAACTAGATGTGGGAATGACTTGAGGTGGGAAGCAGCACTTGAAGATGGCAATTATCCCTGATGTAAAAGGAACAGAGGACAGGATTTCTTCAGTTGGGTGATGGATCTTTCAAAAATGGTTTATCTTAAATATGCTAAAATCAGATTAAAGAAAAAGGTGATGGTAGGGATATGTTGGGAATGAACATGTTTTAGTTGGAGGAAATGGCCTGAAGGAAAGCCCAGAGCAAAAGCACAGGGCTGGTTTAAGAACAGTGATGGTACTTTACAGGAGCCAGAGTATGGGATAGACCACCACAGTGGGAAGAAAGAGGCATGCTAAGAAAACTAGTCTGGAGCAGCTTGTACTGGGCCCTACATATGCAGCTGAGGTATCTGCAAAGAAAGTCTCCAAGTTGAGGAATGAAATGATAGCAAATAAGTCCTGATGCAATGGGAAAGACTGGAAGCAAGGAGACTGGGATATCCCAGGGGCAAAGGCTAGTGAGAGATCTGCTATAAGGGTAGGACCCCTAGAAAAGAAATAATGGGGACACTGTAAGGATTGTAGAGGGGAAAAAAAGACAAAGGTAGCTTCAGGATGATAGGATGACAAAATGGTACCTTTAAGAGAACCAAAGGCATGTCATGAAGGAACTAAGGAACAACCTGTCTAGGAGTCTGAGTTGCCAGGTACAAAGTCAAGGGATCTCCATCAGCAGTTAAAAAGTGAAAAACTAGGGCATAAAATAAAAGTTATGGAGGGCAAACAAGATGGCTCAGTGAAAGCCTGATAAACTGAGTTTGATTCCCAGAACCCACAGTGGAAGGAAAGATCTGACTCCTGAAGGTTATCTTCTGAATTCCACACACATGTAGGTACATACAACACATAAACATAAGAGCAGCCTAGTAAACTCTAAGGAGCACTTTCAACATAAGACTTTAGCTGCAGAGACACAACTCTAGCTCAGTTGGTGGAGTATGAGACTCTTAATCTCAGGGTCGTGGGTTTGTGCCCCACGTTGGACACCTCTTGTGATCAATCCATCCATGTGAGTCTATTTAATGGGTAATAGGGATTTATTGAAATATAAATTGAGGAAATACACTCATGAATACAAAACTGAGTAAACAAATGAAGTCATCCTCTGTTCTGTCCGGGAGCGAAAGCACCTGGCCATCCAATCATACCAAGAGGAACGTGACCCCTCTCCCTTTTCTTTTAAGAGGTCACTTATGAAGGCAAGAAGCACTGCCTCTTTTGGGCCGTATAGCCCAAGATCATGGGCAGAGCAAATATCACTACAATAGGAGGTGGATGGAACCATGGAAAGGATGGAAAAGATGAAGAAGGGCTCACCAAAGCCTGGGAAGTCCAAACCTCACTTGTGTCCCCCCACTGGGCTTTACCTATATGATACTCCCTTCCCCAGTGAGCTCCATTTCAATGAATGATAGTGACTCTGATCACTCAAGCAAAAAATTATGGGAGTCATTCTTGACTGGATGCTCCTCCAACTCCCTTCTCATAATGGCCCACCTGAATCCTCCCAAGTTTGTCCACAGTCTGTTCCCTCCATCCTATGTCCACCATGATTGCAATTAGGCTTGTCTTGCTTACCCAGAGAATAAACGTAATCTTCTAGTGGGTCTTCCTACTTCCATCCCCACTTCCCTGTCCATGCTGCAGCTGGTATTCTCTTTCAACAATGTGCATCTGGTGTGTGGTCCTCCATGTAACACATATTCTATTGAACTGTGACTTTTGATCCTGAGGCTACATCTTCTTCCAACCTCATCTCCTCCTAGCCCTTCTACTCCCTCTGTTGCTGGTGGCCCAGTTCCCACAGATCACTCAATTGTCTCCCCAGCACAGATGCCTGTACAATTACTATTCTAGTTTAGGCCATTTAAGTGAGGAAACACTACAATGACTATTTTTCAGCTCCTGAATATAACCGTTTTGGAGCATTCCTTCTATTTTCTGCTACCACAGCAGTTTCCTTTTGGACTTTCACTAACTGTTGTGTGGCCAATTACTTTAAAAGTTTTTATATAATATACAAGAATAAAGAAAGTAGCAGTCATTGTCAGATGAGCACTTCTCTTATGCATTCAATGCCAAACCCTATCCAATAGGGTACCATGTGTAAACAAAGGAAATCATTCCTGGGACCAGAAACTTAGCCAGCTTCAAGGGGCTAATGACGTCATGGACGTTATTAGAAAGGTATCTACTGCCACCACTTTCCTAGACCAGCATATTCCCTTACTATATACTGAATTTTCTCCTCCTACCCACAGATAAATGTAGAGTTACCACCCCTCATCAAAAAAGCTTCTTTTTACAGAAAATGGAGACTATTACACAAAACCACAGATAGATACAATGCAGAGACCAATGGATCATGAGGTGTCCAGCCCAAAGGATATATACACATCATAAATACTGTGCCTGTGGCTCAGGGAACATCATGGAAGAAGGGGTGGACAGACTGTAAGAACTAGAATACCTGGAAGTCTTCTGTGAAACAGTCTCTGTAGAAATAGCTGCATGAACAAGACTGAAACAATAGAATATCAATGGATATATACATATACATGTATGTTCAGCAAATATAATAAGACAAAAGAAGGTTATCAACTTGAGAGTGGGGAACATGAAAGGAATTTGTGGAAGAGTAACTGGGAAGGTCTGAAAAGAAGAAAATGAGGAAGGGATATAATTCTATTTCAATTGGAAATATTTTCAAAACAAATAGTATAAAGTCTACATAATAAGCTTGCTAAGTGTTTTTTTTTAATTATAAAAGTGATACATACTCATTTTAGGTATTTTGAGAAGTACCAACAAATGAGAAAAAAATAGAGTATGTATATAATCCTGCTCTGGTTAACCAAAGAATTGAAGCTTTTCATATATATTCCCTATGGACTCTTCTCTAGAAAAATTTTTATTGTTTTATGTAGTCAAAACCATACAATATAGACAGCCTTGTCATGTCACCACAATTTGAATAATTTCTCCAATTCATTATCAAGGGCAGCATAAAATGAAACCAAATATGCATGGCTAGTCAACAAGCCAGGAGTCTCTAAGGTGAAAAGGCCTGTGACATAGCTTTAATTCTATTTTTTTGATAATTCTTATATATTAGCAGCAAGCATCTCAATCTATACCTATAAGATTCCTGGAAACTGAACAAACCAAATATAAACATTCGTCCACAGAAAGGCACTTCAATGTTCAAAGATAGCTCTGTCATGGGTCCTGTGCAAGTTTACTTTCTATTGCTGCGATAAACACAATGACTAAAAGCGACCTGGGGAGGAAAGGCTTCATTTCACTTTGAAGATTACAGTCCATCATGAAGGGAAGTCAGAGAAGGAACTCAAGGCAAGAACTGAAGAAAAGACAGGAAAATGATGCTTATTAGTGTGCTGCCCCTGACTTGCTTAGTTATTTCTCTTATACAGGCCACAGTGGGCTGGACATCCCCACATCAAATCAGCAATCAAAAAAAAAAAAAAAACCCACAGACTCACTTACAGGCCAATCTGATATAGGCAATTCCTCAACCAAAATTTCCTCTTTCCACGTGACTCTAGTTTGCATCACTCACTCACAGTGACAAAACAACAAACAAAAAACAGCAAAATCCCCTTTATAGTGTTCTGCAGAAAAAAGGACCAACATTTGTTTTGGTCATTGCTGATACACTGGTCCCCTCTTTAGCCTAGTTAACTATGATCTGTCTTTATCAATGTCTCTCTTAAAAGGTAGCATCAGGATTTTATATCATCACTACAAACAGGACTACTATCTCATTTTGTCTAGACATTCATTATAGTATTTCTTTGTTAATTCACAATAGAGGTACATGATTTTTAAACAAGTAATAATTATTGATTTCAAAAGGTTAGATTCCTGTTAAGACAGACTTTCAGCCTTTAATGGTACAACTGATTTTTTACTAAGTAGATACTTTAATGTTGTGTCACTGGTTGTGCCCTATATGCTAGCCAATTACAATAATTTCAAACCCTGACTCTATCATCTAGCACATTGGCTAATCTGTTGCTTTTCACATCTCAGCCATGCACTGCATTATGGAGAAAGCACCCTATGTAGCAAGGTGTTAGTGATCACCCTTCCCAGCTGTCATTAAGCTTTTATTAGATAGTTTGTAACCCCATCTGAATATTTTGCCACCATTTAGCCTGTCTTTCCCCAGGAACTGTGTTATTCCTTGATTCCATAAAAATATTGTCAATGGCACTCCTGATGGTTTCTTTATTTTTTTATACTTAAACCATCAAACACTAAAATTATTAATTGCCAAAGACTAACACCCAGCTCATTGTAAATTATCCTTCCTATTCTGGAAAACTAGAACATTCACTTACGTCCATTCTTTAAGTTAGAATTGACTCACATAGGTAAAACGTCCAATGGTAGGCTATTGTAGCCTGCTCCTCTTCTTACCCCTATTAGAACTATGCTACAGGACTTACAAGAAGCCAAGGCAACAAGTATATTAAATAGCATTTTTGGAATTCAGACATAATAATGAACATAATAAAAGAAAAAGAGCAAATGAAACAAACTAATCAGAACTGGGCTAAAGAAATGAATAGCTAAAACCAAGAAAACAAAAGCTAGATTTCCCCCCAACAGTCTCATAGTTGTCTATGTACAAGGCAATAACAGGTTAGTCTTCCATGTATTCTAAACCCATTTGCCAGGAGTACAAGGAAACACACCTGCCCCTGCATTCTGATGCGAGCCATGATACCCCATCCTATCGACCACAAGTTCTTCTGTGATAGCCATAGTAGCTATACATTTTCTCTTGTATTTCTAGGGTATTTATGCTTCATGTCACTGCTTCATCAATAAGAACATCCCTTGAAATGTGGTGACAAACATTTTATGGCCAGCAGTTGAAAAATTAAGTAGCAGTAGGCCACAGCATACTCATCCCAGTTTTACCCTGCTACTTAATGCTTTGTAAAAGTACACTTTTAGATAGTTCTAGAGTGGTAGACTTTAACCAAGGATTCACATCAACATCTTCCTTTGTGATGTTTTAGAAAATTCATGTGGGCTTGGACCATGGGCTTGGACATTCTGATATAGCAAATCTGAAGCATCTGTATAGCTTGTTAAAAATGTGTAAGTTGTTTATTCTCATCCGTGCTGCTGGTTAAAAACCACTGTTCTATACCAGTTTACTCTAATCACCTCTCCTCCCTATTCTCAAGGATAAAATCTATTTGAATATTTTATTCTATGTCCTACAAAAAGAGATGTTAGTTTTTTTTCTTTTTGCAGAAGCAAAAAATTAAGAATTGAGAAGCAAATATATCCCATGTTAATCAGATCCACAGTCAGTCTTGCAAGGTAGAAGATAAACAGTTTAGCATCATTTTTAACAGTTAGGGTCATCTTTATGGTCTCATAATCTACTTACCGTTTCCAAACTTCTTAAATAAAGACGATAATTTGTGATGTAAACTCTTCCCTTAATGGGGCCATTGAAAGGACATATGTAAATAACTTCTTTGTCTAGTAAGATAAAAAAAGTACCCTAAAATAATGGAAATATAAACCAAGATATACAACAAATGGTACTAACTTAATATAAACTAATTGGCTATGTTTAACTACAATAAAAATGTTGAAAGCAACACTGGCAAAGTTTGCACATCTCTGTGCCAGGCTGAATTGGGGCAGTGGGGAAATACTAGACCCATGTCTCCTCTAAGCACTCATGGCACTTCTGAGTTTGCCCTCAATGCTGTCACTACCTGAGACAAGGTGACCAGAGCCAGAGCACAGAAGTGAATGAGGGTTGTGCTGTTATTAGCATCTCATGATTGTAAAAGAAACTACTTGAGCTATTTCTCTTTCAAGGATATCCTTGAATATGTTAATGACTTTTAAATTTTTAAAATGACTTTGAAATCCCTTTCTCTTCAGGTACTAAATGAAAACTATATACTGAGGTCACTTCATGCCAGTTCAATTAGTTACTACATCAGTTAAAGGTCCATCTGCTGATATTCAGCACTCAAACGTCATATATGAAGACCATCAAAAGCAAAATTTCTTTGCTCTTATCCAGAAACTGGGAAGGACATATTTTACTGGTTTCAGTTTCAAGACTAGAATTATGAGTGTGAATCCATGGACACCAAATAGCTTCTCATGTTTCTTGTGGTATATGGATAGTCCACAAAGACACGTTTCTAAAACCTTCATTTGTCATTTAAAATAAAAATCTGAATCTTAATAAATAGAATGGTTCCCTGAAACAATGCTGATTATTGGCCCCAAATATACTGACATGTGGCAGGAAGGACCAACCCTAACACAAAAATTGAATGTCCATATCATCAGCACTTGGCTCAGAAGCTATTACATGCTTCAGCATTCTTAAGTCAGAGTGACCTGGCCCTTTCAAAGTCGATTTCTTCCTCTTAGCATAGGTTTATCATGAAAGAAAAAACAAAAACAAAAGAACACAAACCCCACTGTATTGGAATGTTACCACAACCTTACTTAATTTCCATTTTCTGGCAAAAGATCTCCTATTATATCAGAGAGAAGAATCTTTAAGCTGTTATTTTGAAACATACATCACAGCTTAGAAGCCTTAATCTAATTGTTCTTATAGCTTTATATTACAAATAGTGTATACTATACCTCTAGTTAGAAACTTTCAAGACATAACCCATGTTGTTCCCCCTAAATCATTCTCTTTGGTACAGAGACAAGAATATTGCTAGCTTTGTGAGCACCGAGCTCTTGAAAGAATTCTTTGGTCAGGAAAGGCATGCAGTGTTCACTGTGTTGATATGCTTAAACAAAGCTAGCCTATTTGTTCTCTCTGCTTTGTACAGAGCAAGTGAAACTCAAGCCACCTGATCTTGCTGTTCTGTTCCTCCAGTTCTATACCCACCAGTCTCAAAAGCTCCTTACCGGTAATTAGTGTTTCCCCTGGGAGTTGAGGAACACTCTTACTGAGATCCTGACTGACTCCATCTTGAGATACCTGAAAGTGAAAGGGGAATCAGAAGTGTTGGTGTTATCTTTGCACACATGGTAGCAAGCAGAAATACACTTTTAAAGAAAAAATGCAAGTTTAGCATTTAAGAAAACTAGAACAGAAAATTCAAACTGGGAAAAAGAGAATCTGGAATGAAAATATAGCTCACTGGTAATTTCCCAACTCACAAGACACCCTCTATTCAATCCCTAGCAACAAAAAATTAGAAAAATAAAAGAATGATCTAGCTGCAACATTTATTAGATGTGCTAATTCCTAGTCTGCATTTAAATAATGTTTTCAAAGTTTTAAATAACTTTTAAGTACTTTAAAGCTAACATATCTCAGTAAAATGATCAAACATGAATGAAGTTAGTGTGCTATATGGTCATAGCTTTTGTTCCTATGCAATTGCTGTAGAATTATATCATAGGCATACTTTCTGACCTATTATTTTATTAGGAACCTTATTCTAGGTAAGAGAAAGAGCAGTCTGTCAAAGACTTGATCCAGTCCCTAGGAATCATTTTGGCAAAGTCCCCATTGACTTTATTTTTCTGTAGGTCTCCTGTTTCAGAATGTCCTCAGGTATGTGTCTCATCTTGTTGGAGAATGTTTTTTAAGGTGTGTTACTTTTGTTTATGTTGCATTGGTTTAACTCTGAACCTCTGTTAATGTGTCTGTCTAAAACACCTCATAGTCTAATAAAGAACTGGCCAATAGCTAGGCAGGAGAAAGGACAGGCAGGGCTGGCAGGCAGAGAGAATAAATGGAAGGAGAAATCTAGGAGAAGAGAGAGGTAGCCAGAGAAGGAGGTGGACTCCAGGGGCTAGCCACCCAGCTACACAGCAAGCAACAGAGTAAGAGTAAGATTTACAGAAGTAAGAGAATGGGAAAAGCCCAGAGGCAAAAGGAAGATAGAATAAGTTAAGAAACGCCAGCAAGAAACAAGCAACCTAAGACTGGGCGTTCATAATTAAGACTAAGCTTCCATGTGTGATTTATTGGAGAGCTGGATGGCAGGCCCCCCTACAGAGTAAAAAACTAACAACCTTCTGGCATGCCAACTTGGGGCTCACATATCCATCTAGAGCTTGAAAAAGCTGAACAACAAAAAAGGGATATGGCTCCTTTAAGAGTTTTGGCCTAACAGTTTCTGCCAGTCATTGAGCTTTTGAGCAGCCAGTATGTGAAGTAGGAACAAAAAACTAAGTAAAAACACCTGCTACAGTACAAGCATCAGCATTCTAGAGCTTTAGGAAGATTGAATGCAGTTCCTGGTCAGACAAACCTCTGAACTGCCTCGAGTTTCATGCTTGGCTTTCATCACCCAAGAAGTAGGGTGAGCCAGCTGAGAGGCGCTCAGGTGGAGAATCCAGGTGTACCTTATCAGTTTGAAAGTTTGCTCATGCAGTCAAAAAGGCTAAAAGATACGCAGTAAAAAAGACCAAGATGGAAAAATCTCTAAACAGGTTCTAGTGTGTTTTACAATGTGCATAGTCTAAAAGAAAGAAAAAGGGTATGTACAATCATAGAAAGGAACAGTTTAAAAATAATAGTCTTTAAAAGAGAGAGTAAAAGAAAAAAGCCACATAAAATGAGAAATAAACAGGTAGTTTGGATCCTGTATGTTGTGTTGATTGTGAAAGTTTTGACTGTTGAGAAGCAAAAGACAGCTGCTAGGACACATGGGATTGTGAACTGGACTGCTAAATTGAACCAATCTATATATATATATATATATATATATTTTCATTTAAAGCCCTTTAATGATTTTTTTTTATTAATTTATTTTGCAATACAATTCAGTTCTACATATCAGCCACGGATTCCCTTGTTCTCCCCCCTCCCGTCCCCCTCACCTTCCCCCCAACCCCCCCCCATTCCCATCTCCTCCAGGGCAAAGCCTTCCCCACAGACTGAGGTCAACCTGGTAGACTCAGTCCAGGTAGGTCTAGTCCCCTCCTCCCAGGCCGAGCCAAACAATCCTGCATAGGCCCCAGGTTTCAAACAGCCAACTCATGCAATGAGCACAAGATCTGGTCCCACTGCCTGGATGCCTCCCAAACAGATCAAGCCAATCAACTGTCTCATCCATTCAGAGGGCCTGATCCAGTGGGGACCCCTCAGCCATTGGTTCATAGTTCATGTGTTTCCATTCATTTGGCTATTTGTCCCTGTGCTTTATCCAACCTTGGTCTCAACAATTCTCGCTCATATAAACCCTCCTCATTCTCGCTAATTGGACTCCCAGAGATCCACCCAGGGCCTAGTCATGGATCTCTGCATCCAGATCCCTCAGTAGTTGGATGAGGTTTCTAGCACAACAATTAGGGTGTTTGGCCATCCCATCACCAGAGTAGGTCAGTTCGGGCTGTCTCTCGACCACTGCCAGCAGTCTGTTGTGTGGGTATCTTTGTGGATTTCTGTGGGCCTCTCTAGCACTTTGCTTCTTCCTATTCTCATGTGGTCTTCATTTACCATGGTCTCCTATTCCTTGTTCTCCCTCTCTGTTGTTGATCCAGCTGGGATCTCCCGCTCCCCCAAGCTCTCTTTCCCTCAACCCTCGCCTTTCATTACCGCCACTCATGTCCAGGCTGTTCATGTAGATCTCATTCCATTTCTCTGTCATTGGGTGATCCCTGTGTCTTTCTTGGGGTCCTGTTTTCCAGGTAGCCTCCCTGGTGATGTGAGTAGCAGACAAGTCATCCTTGTTTCATGTCTAGTATCTTGCTATGAGTGAGTACATACCATGTTTGTCTTTCTGAGTCTGGGTTATCTCACTCAGGATGATTTTTTCTAGATCCATCCATTTGTCTGTAAACCTCATGATGCCATTGTTTTTCTCTGCTGAGTAGTATTCCATTGTGTATATGTACCACATTTTGTTTATCCATTCTTCAGTTGAAGGGCATCTGGGTTGTTTCCATGTTCTGGCTATTACAAACAATGCTGATATGAACATAACTGAACAAGTGCTCTTATGGTGTGGTTGAGCATTTCTTGGGTATATGCCCAAGAGTGGTATAGCTGGATCTTGGGGGAGATTGATTCTCAATTTTCTAAGAAAGCGCCATATTGATTTCCAAAGTGGTTGTACAAGCTTGCATTCCCACCAGCAGTGGAGGAGAGTTCCCCTAGCTCCACATCCTCTCCAGCATAAGGTGTCTTCAGTGTTTTTGATCTTAGCCATTCTGACAGGCGTAAGGTGGTATCTCAGAGTTGTTTTGATTTGCATTTCCCTGATGATTAGGGATGTTGAGCAGTTCCTTAAATGTCTTTCAGCCATTTGAGTTTCCTCTGTTGAGAATTCTCTGTTTAGCTCTATAGCCCATTTCTTAATTGGACTGTTGGGCATTTTGATGTCTAATTTCTTGAATTCCTTATATATTCTGGATATCAGTCCTCTGTCAGATGTGGGGTTGGTGAAGATCTTTTCCCATTCTGTAGGCTGTCGCTTTGCCTTGTTGACCGTATCCTTTGCTCTACAAAAGCTTCTCAGTTTCAAGAGGTCCCATTGATTGATTGTTTGTCTCAGAGTCTGTGCTACTGGTGTTCTATTTAGGAAGTAGTCTCCTATGCCAATGCGTTCAAGACTACTTCCTACTTTCTCTTCTAGCAGGTTCAGAGTAGCTGGATTTATGTTGAGGTCCTTGATCCACTTGGACTTAAGTTTTGTGCACGGTGATAGATATGGATCTATTTGCAACCTTCTACATGTTGATATCCAGTTTTGCCAGCACCATTTGTTGAAGATGCTTTCTTTTTTCCATTGTGCACTTTTGGCTTCTTTGTCAAAAATTATATGTTCATAGGTGTGTGGATTAATGTCAGGGTCTTCAATTCGATTCCATTGGTCCACATGTCGGTTTTTATGCCAGTACCAAGCTGTTTTTATTACTGTAGCTCTATAGTAGAGCTTGAAGTCAGGGATCGTGATGCCTCCAGAAGTTGTGTTATTGTACAGGATTCCTTTGGCTATCCTGGGTTTTTTGTTTTTCCATATGAAGTTGAGTATTATTTTTTCCAGGTCTGTGAAGAATTGTGTTGGTATTTTGATGGGGATTGCATTGAATCTGTAGATTGCTTTTGGTAGGATTGCCATTTTTACTATGTTAGTCCTGCCTATCCATGAGCATGGGAGATCTTTCCATTTTCTGACATCTTCTTCAATTTCTTTTTTCAGGGACTTAAAGTTCTTGTCATATAGGTCCTTCACTTGCTTGGTTAGTGTTACCCCAAGGTATTTTATGTCATTTGTGGCTATAGTAAAGGGTGATGTATCTCTGATTTCCTTCTCCGCTTCTTTGTCCATTGTATATAGGAGGGCTACTGATATTTTTGAGTTGATCTTGTATCCTGCTATGTTGCTGAAGGTGTTTATAAGCTGTATCAGTTCCTTGGTGGAATCTTTGGGGTCGCTCAAGTATACTATCATGTCATCTGCAAATAGGGAAAGCTTGACTTCTTCCTTTCCAATTTGTATCCCCTTAATCTCCTTATGTTGTCTTATTGCTCTGGCTAGAACTTCAAGTACTATATTGAATAAGTATGGGGAGAGTGGACAGCCTTGCCTCGTTCCTGATTTTAGTGGAATTGCTTTGAGTTTCTCTCCATTTAATTTGATGTTGGCTGTTGGCTTGCTGTAAATTGCCTTTATTATGTTTAGGTATGTTCCCTGTATTCCTGATCGCTCCAATACCTTTATCATGAAGGGGTGTTGGATTTTGTCAAATGCCTTTTCTGCATCCAGTGAGATGATCATATGGTTTTTTTCTTTGAGTTTGTTTATATGGTGTATTACATTGACGGACTTTCGTATGTTGAACCACCCTTGCATCCCTGGAATGAATCCTACTTGATCATGGTGGATAATTGTTTTGATGTGTTCTTGGAGTCTGTTTGCCAGTATTTTATTGAGTATTTTTGCATCAATGTTCATGAGGGAGAT